CTGATGGCGTCACCGTATATAGCTCTGCGTTTATGTTTGATCTCAGCAATAGCGAAGAAGTGAATGCTTGGTAAGTTAATTAAAACCATGTCTCAAGAAAGTTATACTATTACTCAAAAGAGCTACAAATTTACACGATTTACACGATATATATTTATAACACATGTCACGCCACATCTAAATTCTGTGTAATGATTGGTCAATACTGATTCAGCCATTATGACGTCATTATTCAGCAAAATATTCTCAAAGTTACTACAGCGTGCATCTGAATTCATAATGTTTATAAAACATCAACGAACTGTTTCAGCTTGCTCGAAACAACAGATGACAATAATATTCCCATAATTCAGATGATAATAAGCAATTTCGTTGAAATCATAGATTCGTAAACTTGCTTGGCTCGTTTTTCATCCAGCGTCAAATGGTTGACCAACAAAATCGAGTAACAAGTAATTTTTGTATTTTTATTTATATAATCACAATCGTTAAACATTGCCAATAAGCAAATGCACGCCACTGATAACGGCGACAAAGTACAAAACTCTATTTTATCGACGTCAAGGTCAGAATAAAATCTAAATAAAGAACTTTGTATTTTGTTTGTTTGTGAGTTTCTGAATATGTTGTGAACATGTTGCGTACTTAATACAATTAATATATAATATTTTACGGTTCTATAGTAAATTTGACAGAAATACACGGTTTTGGGTTGACTTGCATTCCCTACTAGTAAGATAGGCGCACGCCATTTATATTATTGTGGCCCGTCAATATGAATATAATATTATATTACCCACAGGAGAGTACTTTATAAAATAGAAGACGATGAAAGAATAACTATTGCACAATATCTTGATGGAGGACCATTCAATTTAAATCAGTGTGTTAATGACAACTATCCCGAGTATGAACTCCCTGGAGGCTACCTTCATTCATTTTGCTTAACAGAACATTATTTCGTTATACCAACAAGTACGTTTATATTGGATGTTTGCAAGACCTTCGGTAGGTATCTGATATTAGGGATGGGAAAGGGGCGGACGTAACGATGTAGGGGTGCATTATTTAATTTGAGATTGGATTTTACATATTGACACACACACGTGATTACAGTTAATGGTACGTACCATTAATTGCTAATATTAATATTCACGGCATTCATATTCAACATTAATATCGGCATAGAAAGTTCATGTTTCTGTCGAAAAATAGTATTACGTAACCCAGTTTACAAACACACATTATTATAATTTTTCATATATTTGAATATGGCCTTTAAACCCACGGCAGCTTGTGGACTGGGGGAATACAGACATTCTGTACACGATTGCTGTATTTTAATTTCAGTAACTGAACCAGACGATCCAATCATGCCATTCTTCCTATACAATTATAATTTCACAACGGATCTACCAACTCGATTTGTTGTGATTAGTAGAGACACCAATGAAGTCGTTGGAGAGTTTTCAACACCAGAGGGATTGTTTATTACCCACCAGGTACATACATTACTCTTACGTAATTATTCATATATT